ATTTAAATTACTTCAAGGGTAAGATTACTATTATTTGAGTCACACTTATTTTGAGTCAATAAAATTAATCATCAATATTTGGCCACTTAATATTAGGGGCAATATTGTTATGATAAATAGTTTAAGAAACTATATACTCATGTGAAAATAGTTTTAGGGGCAAAAATAAAACTTAACTCTTCATTTTATTTTATAACAAAGTGGAATCAAAATGACTAACATTAAATTCTTGCTTTATTGCCTACTCTCCAATTTTGGTTATATATAGAGCTCATTTAATTTCACCGAATTATATTGAGAGATGCAATGAGGATCTAAACGATTTTTCAAAAAAAAAAAACAGAGAAGAGAAGTTAAGAATTATATATATACCATAAGTAAAGACTTAAGGTGATCAAAAGTGAGGTGAATGGAAAACCATGGCTGATTCTTGAGGCGAAGGAAGACATCAACTATATCTTCTTCTTGTGGTTTAATTAGGCAATTGAGGACGAAGGTGTTCATCGATCACTTGTTGGTAAAATGCATCCATGTCCTTGAAAATCCTCTCAAGACGACCACTCAATCCTGTGAGTCTATCAATCCACCCTGTGAAATGAAAATAATCTGAATGAAGAGGCGCCCACAACGCCATCATCTCATTCACCATCCCACGAAATATACTCCACGAAATATACTCTCATTTTACAACTATAACTTCATATATCTAATAGTTAAACAATCATGTATTACTAACAAAGTTTAACATTAATTGTTTATAATTACTTCATTATTGCATATATGAAATTACAATTATAAAACGTTAAAGTTATAGATGTAAATTACTGATGAAATAGTTGTAAATTATTTAATTGATATATGTTTAATAGAGACATTATTGTCTTTTTCTTCAAATTTCAAATTATACTCAAATCTCAAGGGACATAGTTATGGTTTCTAAATTTCACAGGACTAGTTTGTGAATAAATTAATTCTACGAGACCTATATGAAATTTTTCCTTTTAATTACCTAAATTTTATGGGCCTTTTAGTAATCGCCCTGTCACGCCCCAAAAATAGAGGGTAATCGGCATGGGATGTGAATCACATAACACATCTCCGCAAGCCTCTAACCTTAAACTCATTTTATTTCTAAAATGTAATCAAATTTATATTGAAATTTTAACATTTTTTTATATTGGTCATTAAAATAAAGTTTTAAAAGAATTTTGTAAAAATATCGACAAAAACCTTACTTGTAAATAGGATCATCCAAAACTCTACAATACAAAAATATTCACAGGATACCATGTCAATTAGGAGCTTAGCTCTTCTAATGAACAAACAGCATATATACCAAAATAGAAGCCCTGGATGTAGCATATGTGGAGCACCTAACTAGATCCCTCTAAAATAAAATACATAAGCATTAATAGTTACATAAAAAGGAAAATTTTGATCAGTTCTTTACCCAACACATCTATGAGTTCTAATGGAGCAACGGGGGATCGGCATCAACTAGGGTATTTGAGACCAAAATAATTTTCTAATGAATAACGTCCCAACAATAAATCATTGAACATAAAAAAAAATAATTATGTAAGTAAAGAGACAATGATCTTTATAAAATTTAATAAACTTCAAAATAAAACGATTCTATAAAATTGTAAATAAAATCTCGAACCATTAAGATCTCATAATAAATAATATTATCATTTGATTGCAAGGAAGCAAATAACAAAATCAATAATTATAAATAATTTACTATTTAAAACCAATGGGATGTAAAGTTACCAAATAATTAAATTCATATAATAGGGACTTATCAGAACAATTAACAAATGTGGACACATAGTCCACGAGGGCAAATAACCAAATGCGGCTCTTGCCACGAAAACAAACGTGGAACATAGTCCATGAGGGTAAGTAACCAAATGCAGCCGAAGTTATGAAACAAATGTGGACACACACAGTCCACGAGGGTAATGCTAACCAAACGCGACTCAAAACCACGAAATCAAACGTGAGTACAATGCTCACAAATAACTATTCCTCCGTTCCACGTGCGTTGGCCATCGTACGGAGCTAGTACCTCCTATAAGCACCCTGCTAACGAGGTGTACCATGGCGCGCCAAGGGCTAACAGAACTACCGTTAGCAACCAGTGTTCTGTATAAAGTCCCCTTGAAATTCACTTTCAAACCAATTTCAAACATGCGAGAATATAATCACTATCAAATAAATTTTTCATTTCCAATGTCGAACTCGTATGAATCATTTTTTTGTAGCAATTCAATAATTTCTAGAATGAAAATCCAATAATTAAAATCCAAACTCGTATTTACTGATAAAATAAAATTATCAAATATGATAAAGATAACTTTAAAAAATAAAGTACTTTAATCAACAAAATATCTAATAATCATATTGTTGCTGTAAAAAGGATTTATATAAAATATAATATTTCAGTAAAAAATTTTATTAGACATCAGTTGGGACGGTATCCACTTACCTGTATAGTTCCCAAGTGTATAATTTACTTCCAAACTAGTCTCCTATGTGAAAATGCTTTGTCTTTAAATTCCTAATATTCAAATAATATCATTGTTATTTTCTCAAATATACTTTACCATTCAAAAATCTTTAATCCCAAACAACACAGAAAATAAAGAAACAAAACCTTTACTTTTATCTTTATCAACATTGCATCAAACATAATATATAAATAGCAATTTAATTCTTAAATCACCAACTCAAATGTCTCTCCCAAAAATCTCAAATTTCTATTTTAACTTTTATTGCAAAATACATAAGCCTTACAGGATTATTTAATCAATGATGACATACCTATCATTTTTTTTTTGCCACATAAAGACCAAAATTTTCTTTTTTAAACATTCGTCAAGCATTCTTTACAAAGGTTGTCCTATATACTAATCAACTCCCATTTTTCATTAAAGCAAATTATCTACTAATAACTATTTAATTAACAACAACATAATTATCACATGTATCTTGTCATCATATGACAAGTTCTCCTAATAGGCATTTCATCAACCTCAAAAACATTAATCCTAAATCTACGATTCCAACCTATTTTTCCTTCAATTTCATTCCAACAGCTCCCAATATATGTTTTGAAAAAAAAAATGTCATTTGAACCTATTTCCTCTTACAATAACCAAATACTTATACAAATCCTCAAGGTTTAGTTTGATTAAATTTCCCATACTCCCTCTTATTCTCCTAACAGCCTCAGCACAGGAAGATCAAGGCTTCATTTCTAGCCAACATCTTATAATACACGTGCAAAATGAAAAAGAGGAAGGGAGAAAAATTATAGCTCACCTAATCAGTTGAACAGTAAAGAACAGAGTTTAAAATTCCCTCAGTCCACATCGACGACTATCACCAAGAAGAAAGAGATGCTACTCAGATCAACAATGACTGAAGTTGGAAGGAGAGTTGACTATGCTTGCAAGGAAGAAGAAACTGAAGCTCACAGTTGAACAGGGGAGGAATGGACTCGCAATTTGCAACCCCCACGTAGTGGTTCTCGACGGACGCTACAGCAGCGGCGAGCAAAGTTCCTGCTCTCACCGACGGCAAGTTAAATGGCGGAGAACAGAGGTGACTGGATCGGGAGTTCAGAGCTTTTGATCACAAATTTCTCTTGCTCTCACATGGACCAAAGACTAACCAGAGCAGGAACGAGGAAGAACGCTACAGTCATCCAAATCGGTTTCACTGGAGGAGCAAGAAGACGGAGAGGGCAGATCGAAGAAGGAGTAGAGGCTACTATTAGATTCTCACTCTCCTATTCACTGAGAGGAGCCACTGTCGGTGGAGAAGAAAAAAAAAAAAGTCAAAAATGCTCTCTGTTTTTTCGCACAGTGGAAGATAAAAATCTAATTAAAGAAAATTTGGAAAATTACATGAAAGAGCACAAGGAAAAATTACCAGAAACGACACAAGGAAAATTATAAGAAAGGACACAAAATTTTCTTATAATTCAAGACAAAAATAAAACCGAACTTTTACTTAATAGGATTTGGACTTTGAACCTTCAAGAAAATTGCTAGAGAAATTCCAATAATTTACTTCTTCCCACTTGCTATAAAACTAATCTAAAATTTAGGATCATTATAATTTCTGTTTTTTTTTTCCCTTTGTTTTTGAATAATAGTCCTAGCAAGCCCAAAAATTTAAAGATTCAAAATACAAACACTAGCTCACCACAAAAGTGGTCGGGCGTTCATCTAGAAAAAACATTAAAACAAGGGAGAATGACAAGTAAAGATTTTGTAAAAACATTAATGTTAAATTAAGAATTTTAATATTGAAACATGGTAGAAGGAGTACTCAAAATTTGGGAAAGTCATGTTTTCTTAATTTGACATTATTGTTCTTATTAGGTCCTTACTTGTCATTCTCCCTTAAAACAATCCACTGACATAGTGGGGACAATCTGAATATCAAAACCTCCTCCACTCGCATTCCTAGCATGTTGGTTCACACACTTAATACCCTCACGATACATATGAGCAATGTATATTGGGTAAATCAATCCAAATTTGTCTCATCTCCTGTATAACAGCCTCCAACTGATGATAAGAGTATCCTTCATGAATCATCAGATTGAGTGCATTCAATGAATCAATAAAAATAGTCACTTTTTGGCAAATTCCTCTCTTGGATAATTTTCAATGCATTGTGCACCACAGCCAATTCAATAGCAGTTGGGTTTAATTCACCAAGATTTTGTTTGAAGCCAAGTAGCCAATCTTTATGCCAATTCCTTAACATCTCCACCGGCCAGATGTCCTGCTGGATTAACAAATCCATCCACGTCAAACCGGAGTTCATCTTCTTCTTGGGGAGTCCAGTGAGTGTCCTCCCTGCATTTGGCATTGAGAATGATTTTACAACCTCCCCTAGGAATGCTTTCCTCCATGAGTTGATGCAAAGTTGAATTAGAATTTAAGTTTAACAAATCTACTTCATGTTGTAACATCCATTGATAAGGATCAAAGGGAATAATATTCATTGTAATAATTTAACAAGTAAACAGAGACATGCATCTATCTCAACGTTCGAAGAAAAGCTTCACAATAGGATTCTCACACTTGGAACTTCACAACACTTCATCTTTCAAACATATAGCTCTTATACGTCACTATCAGAGAATAACCAATTATCAAATGCTATCGCTATGCTTCTTCTTCATGTTCAGTTTGGCACCTCGTGAAGAATATTCCTTCCTGAAGATATGCTTAATTAAGATATGAAGTCAGCTAAGACTTCAAAGTTCAGAAACATACATGCTCTGCAGGTATACTACAGTCATTTATTGCAGAAAACATTGATAATCGATAAGAAATTCAAGTATTCACCTGCATCATGAAATGAAAAAAATTAGGTCAAGAGAGACCGTGGATAAAAGAAAAGCTATACAACTTTGCATATACATGTATGTTTTTAAAATTATTGATCTGACTAACATATTTTAAATACTAGTTATAAAATGTGTATTTTAACAGCTTAACAGGAAGAATGAAATAAACTAGAATAGAGTTTTAAAAAAAAACTTATATAGATGAAAAAACTAAAAAATCTCTTACCCCAATACTTAGATGTAAAAAAGTGATAGAAACTGCACTTTTAAATTAAAGTTTTTCGCATACCTCATTATTTTTGGTCGAGTGGGTTCTCAATCAAGATTTGTGGATCTGAAAGTTCAACCCATGTTTCCCCAGCTTCTCTTGAGTAATAACATTTAGTTTTTCAATCATGTCAGAGGTGAGAAAATTCTCCCCTTCCCCAACATCTCCACGCCTAAAGTAGATGTTGTTCTCTTCCCCAGTCAACAATTTTCCAGTCTTATTCACTTCCAAGTTGCTCAAATTCTCAAAACTACAAAGCTTTAGTATATCATTAATAACATTACCACTCTCTTCCTCCTTAGTAAATCCATGCCCCATAAATTCAGCTAAGTCCTTCAAAACCCTTGTTGGCTCGCTCTTCAATTCCTCATACGTCAAAAACATTACTTTATATGGCCTCTCCAAACTCTGCTTGTAGTATCCCAAAATGTGATCCCAAAATGGGCCAGAAGGATTCCTTCCTTCGCAAAATCTCTCAAATGATTCCTCAACTGACCAGTTAGTGGGCTCTTGGGCTTGTGGCACTAACTTTCTGATGAAGTGCCACATCGATGTGAACATATCCTTAGGATTTCTACACAAGTACACGATTTTACACTTTGATAGCTTCACAGATTCTGGCAAAGAAATGTATGACATATGGCTTGCAAAGAGCCTTGGTGATGGGAACGATCTCAGATCAGGGATGTTTTCATGGATGTAGATATTGATCTCTAAAAAGGGTACAAGATCATGAGGGTTAGCAGTGACGAGAGGGTGAGGGTAAGATTGGTTCTTATCAAGATTTGGATTTGGGTAATGAATCATGCGATTGATCATCGCATAGGTTAGGGCTTTGAGCCAAGTGGTGCCAGATTTTGGTAAGGTGACAAGAAGAATGTCAGAGTCATGAGCGTTGAAGTGTTTTTGGCTATTGAGGATTCCTTGCAACTGTTTTGTGGTGTGCCAGAAACCGTCATATTGATGGATGGTAATTGGTCTCCAAAATGTATCGCTAGGTAAGTTGGCAATGAGGTCCTTGTTTTCTTGGGTTAATTCAACTTTCTGAAGGTACTTGGGAGTATCGGAGGGTTCAGAATTTTTTGCCGCCATATGTGTGTTTGTATGGTGGCTGGGAAAGTTTAGTGTGAGAACACTTGTGCAATGATGAAGAGGTTTATATGCGATCCCCTCTACAAGGGCAAAATCCATGGTAAAGGAGAGCCGGAGAGATGGTATTTTAAATTAAGTAGTATCGTGTAAGACAAGTTACAATGCACTCCAATTATAATTAAGCTTTAATTTACACCAATAATGATGAAAGCAACAACAAAGATCATGGTGCACCGCATGGGAATCTCAATTGACACCGACAATGATGACTTTATTAATATATTAATTAGGTTGTCTAACTTTATTTCAAGTTAATTATTACTCTCTTCTATTTTTTTATAAAAAATATTTTACTCCATCTGTCCTTTTTCATAAAACAATTTTTAATAAAATTATACATGCCAATAAAGTTCAGTAAATATATTTTATAATCTTTTTTTAAACACAAAATATAATAATATAAATTTTTAAAAATATCCTTCATTCAATACTCCCTCAATCCCAATTTATAATTATAAAAAATTTATTGTATCAAAATATGAGACACTTTGATAAAAATAAAATTTTATATTTAATTATACTTGTCTAATATTACCTTTCGCTCCTTCTTATATTTATTGAGGTGGCTTTAGTTAGTGGAGTAATCAATTGATGAGATTCTATGAGATTAATCGCTGCGATTAATTATTATTATTTTAATACAGAAAGATCTTCTAGTGATTCACATGGCCTCCTTCACATATAAATAATTTTCTAAACTTTAGATATGTCCTTACCTATCACCTTCCTAAATTTTTAAAATATAAAATTAACTTCCTCACTTTTCAATTTTTTAGTATAAAGTATAAACCCCTTGCGGGCAGGATTATTGTTAATAACCTGTTGACAAAGTTTTCCCACGTCACACAAATTATAGTATTTGGTATTTGATGTGTATTAAGGATATTTTATTGATTTCATCCTATTAGAAAACAATGTGATTTTGATGAGGGCTAAATTAGTCATTTTTCTTCTTCATAGGGTTCCATCTTCTTGAAAAATGAGGGCGTTAGATTTGTTAATTAACTTTGAGTTGGTTGATGCACACACTGAATCGCTACGATAGAAATAGTTCAAATCACATATCTTGAAATTAAAGATGATATAACTCTTGAACGAATAACTGAACACAGGTTAAAGGGTAAACTTGCCATAAAATTTTTCACCCAGTGCAATTGATATCCTTAATTTTTGATAGATTGATACAATGCTATTCTAGAAGTTTTAGAAAAGGTGCAATATTTCCCTATTGTAATGTTTGATTAACGTTAATCATTAATTAGTTGAATAATTTTGAGGATTAAAGAGTAATTATGTCCTAAAAGATTGTTTGATGGAGCAAATGGTATTCCAAACTTTCAGTTAGAGAAATTTTTTCCTTTGTAGTTGATGAGTGGTAAGGGATGCCTTAAGGAAATTCCCATAGAATGGCAAGTAAAATCTTTTGATGATGGTAAAGGGGCCTTCCTACTATACAATCCACAAATATTTAGTTCAAGTGGATCACTTGGATTCATCCCTCTCACTTTGGGCCAGTCTATGTTGCCTATGGATAGGACTAATCAAGTTTGTATTTTCTCATGGTTAAGCTTGCGCAAGCTCAAACCTGCTCATGAACACATATCCAAACTTGTTCATGTATAAGATAACCACAAGGCCATGGAGTGCTTGAGTAGAGTTGATTTTGCAGTTAGTCAATCTCAAAGCAAATGACTTTTTGACATTGACAAGGGGTTATTACATTCCTTTTATAATTTCAACATTGCAGTTATAGAAGGTTTAGGATAGTAATTGCTTGTTCAAAAAATCTTTCAAGGCAAAATTGCCCTTCAACCTTTGCTAGAATTGTTCAACTAACAATCAACATTGATCAAATATTAATATATATAGGATAACATTGTATCATTTTTAAACTTCTGGGATAACATTGCAATAATTAAAATTAAAAATACTAGTTGCACCTAGCAGAAAACTTCCAAAATTAAAATTTAAGTTCTTTGCAATAAGTAAAATTTGCCCATTAGCCAAAATTTAGTCAGAACTTAATTTAGAATTTGTAGGGAGATCAGATGATGCAAAAAAACTAACATAGGTGGATCTGTTCGATATTGGCATTATTCAAATAAGAAAAAGGATAATGGGAATTTTTCTATAAGGTGACACATCTTGAGGCTTTATGATTTCAGCTATTTCAATGGTAGCTAGTTATTTTGTATTAGTAGTATCATTGGATCCTAAAGTTTTCTTAAATCATAAATAAAATATCCTAAATACACGTCAGATGCCCAGTACTATAATTTGTCTAACATGGCAAACTTTGTCAACATGTCAACATGATAATTTTAAATTAAAAAAAAAAGGTATAGGAAGGTGATGTGCAACAACATATCTAAAGTTTAGAAAAATTAGCCGCCCCATTCCACAAACCTTACCTCATTTATTGGGAAGAAAATTGCTAATTTGTCCCTAATCAATGTCAGGTTTTTCTCAATATAATGAGATTAATAAAAAGAAAAAATCCTTCATACATGACTGATGTCAATTATTATAATTTGTCTGGAATGGCAAATTTTGTTCATAAATTGAAAGTGATTTTAACGGCAAAGGGTTCATATTCAAAATTTGAAAACCAGGAGTTTGTTTTAAACTAGATTTGGGGTGCCTACTGTCCTCTCCACCGCCTTTAATGCCTTAAATTTTTGCCTTTCATTTCAGCCAATGGTAAGATAAATTTAATCCAATTCTCCAAAATTAAGGGGGTTAGTTTTAAATAGGATTTGATGCATCTACTACTCTTTCTACTACCCCCTCTAATGCCTAAAATCTCAACCCTTTATTTCAGTTAATGGTTAGAAAATTTTTATTTAATTCCTCAAATATATGCAAAGCTGAGGGGCCTTTAAAAAAATTATTTTTGGTAGCGACATGCCTAAAGTTTGATCAGCGGAGTTATTTATATTTAGTCTAATATATGTATATTAACTTATCTATAATTATTATTATGATTTAATATTCAACCCGTAATTATGGTTTTACTATAATGAAGATTATTCTTAATATTATATGAGAGTGATATTAATTTCGTATCAACACTCAACACAGAAGCAAGTTTTATTTTATTTTATAATATCATTATAACATAAATATATATACATGGTCTAAAGAAAAATTCAAAAAATTGAGCGCCATGAGGACATTAGGGTCTATCAGTCCAAATTGCTGCTAAACAGCCCCCCCCCCCCCCAACGGGGGGAACTTGTTAGACATCGTATTGAATGATGGAAACATTGTTATGACCATGACAAATTTGGACATGAACAATTCACTATCCACTATTCATACACCACAATTTTTTTAAGTTACAGATTTCAAAGATTTAAAAAATGCACAGTAAAATGATAGTATGTTTGGATCCAGTGTTTATGTTAATATATTGATGATTTTTCTTGTTACCATATACGCAAGTTTATTGTGAATCAGGAAAAAAAAAAGATGCAAGTTTATATCTATTCACTGTTCAAATACCTCTCGTCTCAAGCATTATATAAACCCATGAAAATATCCTTACCTTCACTTCATGAATCTAATTTTTCTCTCTACACTTCCCTCCTTAATAGTTGTCCAATGGGGTGAAAAATAAGAGGTGGAGAAGTCGGAGATTCAAAGAATTTTCTCACGCCTGACATGATCAAACAACTTGATGATATTACTGAAGAGAAGTTGGGAAGACATGGCTTGAAGTTTTAAATCCATTTAGAGATTCTTTGGAGTATTTGTTCTACTATAAGAATGATAAGGTTTGAATAAAAACTTCTGACTTTTTTAATTCAAACCTTATCATTCCTATAAAAATTTGTATGTATTTATTATCACGTTGTATATAAATATTTAATATTTTTAGATCAAATTAGCAACAAATAAAATTGTAAGGAACGCACCTTAATTGATACTTCCTTTCTTAACATATGTCTTTTAAAATCAGGTTTATGTGAATTTTCTTCTTCGTTGATCAATTATGAATGAGAAGTCAAAAAAAGTTTCTTTAATTGAAGTATTAGCTGAATTCATGTTATTAATCTTTTGGATTTAATGGCAAATAACCCCTAAATTATAGGTCTAAAAGCATTTGGGATTCTAAACTTGTTTTTAGTAGAAATGTTTCTATTCAACATTTCAAAACGATGCATCATAGTCTTCATTAATAAATATTAACTTTGATCATTAGTTAACCAAAAAATGATAAAAAATAACAAAAAGTTACAGAAAAAGATCAAGAAAATTTTATTAGTCCTCTTTTGTAATTGGTCAGTCCTTTATGTTATTTTTTAGGTACTTTTATATTATTTTCTAGTCAACTAATGATTATCAAAGTTAACTAATTTGTTAATTATAGGGATGACATTGCACCATTTTCAAAATTTGGAAGGGAACATTGCACTAATAATAAGTTTAGGGTTCCAAATACTGTTGAATCTGTAGTTAAAGTGTCAATTTTCCATTTAATCCTAATTTTTCCTTCACCAGGTATTAGAACTGAAGATGAAGAAGCAGCGGCAAACTTAAAATCTCCTTATGATAGAGTGTCTCATGATGGAAATTTTTTTTAGTGTTGATAAAAAAATTAAAAGATATGTGAAACTCTTCAAAAGTTGGGTTGTGGGTGAATCATTTTAACTAGGGAAAACATAATCTTTAGTTTGATTTAGGGTGATATGTAAAAATATAATCTACAGAAAAATCATATCAATAAATTTTATATTGCATACTGATATTGTTCCACATTAAATACTTGGATCATTGCAAGAAGTTGATTGTGGGGGAGGGGAGGGAAGAGGGATGGGGGAAACATCTATATTTGGAGAAAACAATGTGATGAACCAAGATTTAAATCTCAGTACAAAGAGATGCCCAACATCATTTAGTGTGAAATTGTGCCTTAAATAAGGGTATTAGAGGTTACATATAAGTTATAAAAAAGAGGAGCAAAATTAGGTTTAACCAAGAGAAATCCATTCACAACATGGTAAGGGCATAAGACAGATACCTTACAATTTTTTTTAATTTCTTCTTTTTTTGTATGTGTACATATGTCTCAACTACCCACATTTTATATGTATTAATTGTTCTAAGCAATTGATAACATTAGCTGCCACAAACTTTTTAAATTTCTCTCTCCATATGTATATAATATTTCAACTGCTCCCATTTTATATATATATATATATTAGTTGCGTCATTTAGTTGATGATATTAGTTTATTTTTATAATTTTAATGACCCACTTGGAAAACATTACATATCTTTATTTTTATAATTTTGTCATTTTGTGATTCAAAGATTCTTGTGATTTGCTTCTAACATTCATTTCATTCAAAGGCCAGGATGTGGAATGTGGGCCACGTGCTTTTTGTTTTCTTTCATTATTTTATTTTATTTATTTGTCTTACTATAATAATTTATTTAGATTTTGATTAAATGAAATTTGGTTCTTTAGGCTATATCTACAATGAAAGAAAATTCTAAAAAAAGAAAAAAAGGCATTTCAACTACAATCTTTATCTTAATCTACAATCTTATTAATCTCGTGAAGTTTTAATATAGATTCTTATAATAAAAAATGAAGGGAGAGAATCCATTCTAATAATTTCGCAGGAAATACACAGACGTCTATCTCAACATTCGAAGAAAAGGTTCACAAGAGGATTCTCACACTCAGAACTTCACCAGAGGATTCTTATAATAACTAAGCGTAAGGGCATATAACTATCGCAATTCGCAATGCTTCTTCTCAATATTCACACTTTGACACCTCGTGAAGGATCCGCCATGAGGATATAAGTTTAACATATGAAGTCAGTTAAGACTTCACAAACATACATATACGGCACTGCAGACAATTGCCGTTTATTGAAGAATGTGATAATCGATAAGAAATTCAAGTATACATATGGGAAAAATTATAATTTGGTCAAAAGAGAGACCCTAGATAAAAGAAAAGCTATACAAGTTTTTTTTCTCCAAAAAAGAGTCAATTTTATTAATAACCAAAAAAATTATTAACACACACTAATAGCCGAAGCCAAAAGAAAAAAACACTCAAAAAAACCTACAAGTATAAGTTAACACACAAACTCACCATAAAAAAAAAAAAAAAAGAAAAAGAAAAAATTGGAACAGAGGCTTAAACATTCAACAATTAGTCAAAAGCAACAATCAACCAATACCCTTCCTACAGAAAAACACGCCAGGCACACCAAGAGCTTGAGCCAAATCCCTTTTCAAAACCCGTGCAAGAGAGGTTGGGGGCCTTTCAACCCAATCCACAGGACACAACCTCTTTGAGCTATTTACTGCTAACCAATTAGCAGACTCATTCATTGACCTTGAAATCAATGAAACCACAACATTTGATAGGGATTTTAGAGCCACAAGCACGTCCTCAATAACCACTTGACACCTCCAATCACAACTACCTGTAGAACCACTAACCAAGCAATTATACAACATTGCACAATCAGTTTCAATTATACACTTACCAATCTGAAGATTCCTTATCAGATCCAGAGCTTTCCTAAAAGCCATAGCCTCTGACATAAAAAGCTGAAGATGAGCTGATCTGACCTGCAAAACCACCAATCACAACCCCACTATCATCCCTACAAACCACCCCAATACCTACACTACCAGTTTTATACTGATACGAGCCATCAACATTAACCTTGACAGTGTTTACCAATGGAAGTTCCCAACCCTTTTGCACTTTACATTTCTGTTTAACAAACCCCTCCCCCATCCATCCATTAGCCCTCCAATAATCATCAACCAAATCAACCGCATCATTCAAAACTCTAGTAGGATCAATATTCTGATCTTGAAATACTGCATTACACCTCATTTTCCAAATCATCCAGCAAACAGAAGCCAAAATAGCCTTTTGGTAATCAGTTACCCAACCATTCTTCCCAATCATATTCCAAACCCACTGGTCAAATCTAGAAAGATTATCTTCTGATACATGAACATTAATAGGAGATCCATACCAGACCCTATGCACCCACTCTGTCACAACCTGATACTAAGGGTATGATCGGCATGAAATATGAAGAGAATTCATATTCCATAAGCCTTAATAACCAAAAATTTTGCTAAAATATTGACATACGTAAGTTATATATAATAATGAAGTTCGTAAAGTCTTAAGTGTTTTGTAGAATTTTCAACAGAGTTTCCTCTATAACTCAGACCTCCCAAAATTTTCACAACAAGAACAAAACCTGTCAACTAGACCAACAAGAAACTAGCTCTATTCCAGCAATTTACATAATAACAAAATAAGAATAGGACCTAACTATGGCATATGTGGAGCACTAAGTTATGATTACAAAATACAATACATCATTTTACCAAAACAAGAATCGCAATATGCCTCTCTTTTCCAAAAAGGCAAAAAGCCTCTCAATGAGCTGCTAAAAATGTAGAGTTAGCTACACTATTTGAGACCAAAGAAATTTTCGGTGAGTAGCGTTCCAATTATATATATGTATATAAATACATGAAGACCTTAATGAATAAATTTAATTTAAAAATTTTGAAATAATGAACCATGAACTTAAATTAATAACAATAAACAACAAGTTTTTTTTTTCAATGATGCAATCGTGAATTTGAAAAATGTTAATAGAACAAAACAATTTATCAAAATTTATGATGTTCATAGAATATAAAATTTTCAAGAAATGATATGACTAGGTAGAATGCTTTTAAAGAAATAATATAAAAATAATAAAATTTAAGTTTAAATCTAGGAGGGCTTTATCAGAATGAATAGCAAGCATGAACACACAGTCCATGAAGGTAACTAACTAAGCGTGGATACACAGTTCATGAGGGTAAGTAACCAATAAAGCGTGGCTGAAAGCCACGAAACAAGCACGGCTAGAGCCATGAGTCAAGCACAGGTATGAGGCCTATGAACAAGCGTGAGTACAATGCTCACGAATAATCATCCCTCCGTTCCACGTGTGTTGGCTTGTGCACGGGGCTAGCACCTCCTATAAATACCATACTAGCTAGGTGTACCATGATGCACCAAGTGCTAACAGAACTGCCGTTAGCATCCAGCGTTCTAAACTCAGTTCCCCTTATTAAAATCAAGTGTATATGGAGAAAGAAAAATAGTTTCAAAATTCTCACTTTCAAATGTTATTCAACTATCATTTTCCATTGCCTAAAATCTTCATCATTTCCTCCATACACAAATCATTGCAATACAAATTTTATATCAACGTAGAATTAAATAATTAAACTGCTTATGAGAAATAATACCATTAACATAGAAATAAGATTAACAAGAATATGTAAACAATTTATAAAGCAATAATAATAATATTTAAATGAAGAAATCTTTATAAACACTTTTCTAAAAAAATATTCGGAACGCCACCCACTTACCTGAAAGTTTTCAAAAATTCTACAGCTCGCTTCTCTTAACTTTTCACTTAATTCTAATGAGGCCCTTAATTTCTTGACAAAAATAACAATCCTAAAGTCATTTATCAAGTAATTTTCCAACACTTGATAAACATTTAAATCTGATTCCCAAACAACACCACAACTTAAAGTATACTATCAATAATTTCATTATCAATTAACTAACTTATTAATAACCCAAGTAATATAAGAAAAAGTATTTTCACCTCTTTTTGTATCTTCTAAATGCTTAATGAAATACCCCAACCACCATTTACTGTAACATAATTTATCTTAAGTACTTTAGGATTTCAATTTAATGATTCAATTCACTACTTATGCATGTTCCTTCAAAACTACTACTATGGAAATTGAATAACCTCCATTCTATCAAGTTCTTCTCTTATACATCTCAAGCTTAACACCACATTACCTATAGACGCAAATAATCACACATATACTTCACTAACCTCTATATAGAAATTAACCATTTTAATTCAACAAAATTACTCTTTTAAGCTTTTTAACAATCCGAATATACTTGAGTTCAACAAGCTATTCAAGACATCTAAAATCAATAAATTCATTATCAATTATTCTTATGGTTTCTTTAACCTCAATAAAGTATTATACAAACAATCTATATAATCCTTACTCCTGATTTTAGTATTTTCAAAGTCCGACCATTAGCTCAAGCCACTACTCACATAAATTCCTTCAAGTTACATTATACCAATTTAGTAACATTCTTTTAGGCATTTTCACAAACACTTTATATGCATCCGAATTCTATTCACAATGATCATTCAACAATTTAATCAACTTTCAACATTAATCTATCATCAGTACTCAGCTCATTACCAATTCAAAATAATACACAGCATTAACCAAAATATAGTTTAATTTCCTCAAAATTATGACAGAAACTTTGAAGAGCATGGACGCATTCTTTGGCCAGGGAAGAAGAGAATAATTCGTATTGCTATAACCAGTGATTTACCTTAAACAATAATGCAATAGCTTCAGACACACCCCAGCTCATGAATGACACCAAAGGAGAGGACGATGCCTTCGACCCAGCTATTCGAACAAGAAGAAAACAGAGAACAAACCACCAGCCAGAAAAAGGAAAGACTTGTGCTTCCCACACACTCTCGACGTTCCAAAGCTAAGGAGGAAAGGAGAATGAAAGTTACTTACTCAGCTGCACAGCACGTTGATGGCAGAACGAAGAAGAATCAGAAAATAGAGACAGAGGAAGAAATCAAACGACTGCGCACTTAGCAACAGAGATGCGACAGTGAAGACAATATTCAGGTTGACGGCAAACGGAAAAACTAGTGACGGGAGCTCGAGGGAGCTGGGACGACGGTGAAGAATCAGAGGGTCTAAAGTCGGTGGAGAATGGATGTTATCTCACCGCCTTTCATTGCTCTGTTTTCTAATTCGAATGATCGGGAAGAAGAATATAAAATCTGAACATTAAGAAAATTGGGAAATTACAAGAGATGGCACAAAATTTTTCTGTTATTACATGGAAGACAAAGGCGCTTTAATAACTTCTTTTCATAATTTAAAACAAATAAAACCAAACATTTTTTCAGTAGAATTCAAACTTTGAACCTTTAGGTAAGCTACTAACATAGATTTTACTAAACCACTACTCCCAATTTGTTTTAAACCTAAAATAAATAAATTAAATACCACTTTGGACAAAATTTATTTAATTTAAAATTTTAGAGTCATTACACACTCACATAGCAATAAGCAATGTTCCACTGTTTCTTCATTTCTTCTACAAATACTACAAATAGGGTCAGTACCATACTTTCTATGCACAAGCGCCTCTTTTGTAGCCAAACTACTAGTCACAGCATGCCATATAAAATGTCTCACTTTAGGAACCACTTTAAGCCCCTAAATTACTTGTCACAAACCATTAGGGACTCTATAAGAAGAATCAACTTTCAATTTCACAGCTTGAGGCTGTTTACTTCTAATGATGGCATACCCAATCTTAACCTCATACAAACCATGGCTACTTCTAACCCACCTTATCACATCCTCACTTCCCGAAACAGAAATAAGAATTTGATAGATTTTCTTCAAAACTTCATCATCTACCACCCCCTCCAAACCATTCAGCATTCACTGACCATCTCTAATAAGATCAGACACCTTCACCTCCAAATTTAAACCCTTACCCTCTACAAATCTCCCCAAATCAACATCTGGAATCCATCTATCCCTCCAAATATTCACCTGACTACCATTTCCAATTCTCCATAGTAAATCAGGTTTTAAAAAATCTTTGCCATCTAATATGCTTGACCACCCCTATGATGACCTACCACCTTTCTTAGCACTTAAAAAATCACCCTTAGGAAAATATAAACCCTTCAAGATCCTTACCCACAGGGCATTAGGATTTTGCAAAACCCTCCAAGCTGTCTTGGCCAACAAAGCCAAATTAAAATCCTCAAAATCCTTAAACCCCATACCACCATTAGATTTCAACTCAGTCATCTCCCTCCAGGCCTTCCAATGGATCCCATCCCCTTTCAGCCCCTTTCCGCACCAAAACTTTGAAATCAATCTATCAAAATCCTTGCATGTCTTCTTAGGAAATTTAAAACAAGCCATAAGATAAACAGGCATAGCATTTGCAAGAGCCTTAATTAAAATTTCCTTACCTACTTGAGTAAGATAACGCTGTCTCCAATTTTGAATCTTCCTCAGCAATTTTTCACTAACAAAAGCCAACAATTCAGCCTTTGACTTACCCCATAAAATAGGTAAACCTAGAACTTTTTAGGCTCTTTGGTCTCCTTAATATCCAACCACTGACATATCTCATCCCTCCTTACATCATCAGTATTTTTAGAGAAATACAAACCAGATTTCTCTAAATTAGCCTGCTGTCCCGATGCCTCACTAGAAATGGTAAAAATCTTTTTCAACATTTGACAATTTGACTTAGTTGCTTTCATGAAAAATAGAGCATCATCCGCAAAAAAATAATGAGACAGCACAGGGCAATCTCTAGTCATCTTAATACCAACCAAGTCACCATTTGAAACATGTTTTCTAATCATACTAGATAATACATTAGCCACAATTATAAAAAGATAAGGCAAAAGAGGATCTCCTTGCCTCACCCCCTACTAGGAACCACATCTACCACTCTCTTTCCAGAAAGCATAATAGAATACTTCACTGACCTCACAATCCCATTACGCATGCTACCTATTTCTAGTGAAAGCCTAGCTTCAACAAGACAGCCTCAAGAAAGTCCCATTCCACTCTATCATAAGCTTTACTCATGTCCATTTTAAGTGCAAATTCCTTCTTTCTCACCCCCTTCTGCCTCTTCAACTAATGATACCCCTCGTGTGCCAAAATAATATTGTCATGTATCATTCTACCTTCAATAAAGGCACATTTATTTTCAGACACAATCCTTGGCATCAAACTCTTCATTCTATTTGTAATAACTTTAGCAATTACCTTATAACAGAAATTGCATAGACTGATTGGTCTATATTGAGTGACCAATTCAGGTTTCTCTACCTTCGATATCATCACTAAATCAATAGCATTAATTGGACTTATCATTTCCCCATCATCAAAATACCTTCTCACAACTTCATACATTTCCATGCCTACCTCAACCCATGCAGCATGATATAATCTACCAGTAAATCCATCCGGCCCTGGAGCTTTCTACCCTTCCATTTGAAAACACGCTTTCTTCACCTCCTCCATAGAAACTTTACTCAAGAGCCATTTATTATCATCATCAGTGACTAGCTTGTCAACATAACTCAAAGTTGCTGACATATCACACCCCTACAACTCAGAAATAGACTCTTGTAATAACTAGAAAATTCATTAGCAATCACTTTTTCATCTTCAATCTAGACCTCATTCCCCACTTTCAACCTTAATATTTTATTTCTTGCCCTTCTCTGAATTGTTGTAAGGTGAAAAAACTTAGTATTACAATCACCAGCCCTTAACTACTAAACCCTTGATTTTTGTTGCCAATTTTGCTCTTCCCATTTCCACACCTCCTCCATCTCCTTAAAGATTCTTTCCTTTTCCAGTTTCTTTTCTTCATTCAGAACACCAACACTAGAATTATGCAATTGATTCATAAACACCTCAATTCTCTTCCTATTATTAGGAAACACCAATGTACTCCATTTACAAAGAGAAGATCTACAAGAGTTCAATCTTCTAACAATCTCCTTAGATTTAACCTCTTCCTTCCTTATATCCATATGCCAACTATCCTTTACCACCCCTATAAAATCTTTATGCTCTGTCCAAAAACCTTGAAAATGAAAAGGTTTTAGACTTCTTTCTTATTGAAAATAGAGATCCACAGCAAGGAGATGATGATCTGAACCAACTGGTTTCCAATGGAACACTAAAGCCTTTGGAAAAGCTTCTCGTAATTCAACATTACTAAAGACCCTATCAATTCTCTCCTTAATATGAGCCCTATTCCATCTACCATTATCCCAAGTATACCTTGACCCCTTAAATTCCAAGTCTATAAAACCACAGTTATCCAGCATTTTTTAAATCTCAATTTTCCTGCTAGCTCTCAGATTACCGCCAGACTTCTCACTTTGGCTTAAAATATCATTAAAATCCCCTACACATAACCAGAACCCATTAACAGATGCAACAGTACGAGCCAATCTACCCTATACCTAACTTCTCTTATCCTCCTTTAGAGGTCCATAAACTAAAGTAAGAAAGTTGGGAACATCATCTATATTACAATCAATTCGAGCATGTATAATATTCCTACTCATAATAATAGGATTCAAACTCAATTCATCCTTTCGCCAGATTGCCAGTCCCCCACTTCTACCTCTGGGATCAACATACAAACCATTATTAAAACCAAACTGCTTATGCTTTCTCTCCAATCTCCTTTGGTGCTGTTTAGTTTCCATAAGAAACACTAAAGATGGCTTATGTATCTTGCAAGCCTCCTTTAGGTTCTTTACTGTCAGAGGCACACCAAACCCTTGACAGTTCCAAGAAATAAACCTCATTACTTTTCGATGGCTGTTAAGGGCCAACCATTTAAGCCACTATCACACTCAGCCTTCACATCACCTTTCTTTACTCTAAAGACGAACCTAGAGCCTTTGCCTCTCATCAAATCACATAAAGGCAAATCTTCATCCACAATACCCTCTTCCTCTTCAATCTTTTCTACCTTCACTTTTCTTTTTTCTCCAGAATTTCTTTTTTTTTCTTCTTATTTATCTTGTTTTTCAACTTCTGGTTAGAACCAGCATCCTTTATATTATCACTACTAGCCTCGTCATTACACTTAAACTTCTTTTTCTGTTCAAAACTAATCTGTTCTTTAGCTCCCCTCTTCAATTTTATACGTCTCACTCCCTCTAAAACTTCAGAAATCTATGGATTTTGAACCACCACCAAGGATAATTCCTTTTTTTCCTCATCATCATCATTTAAAGGAACCTCCACAATATATGGAGCTTTTGCCACCTGTATCTTTGCGTGAACATCCTCTTCCTCCAACTCCAACACCTGCACACCATCTCCACTAGCTGCCTTTCTCTCATCCTTGCCCAGTAAATCCTGATCATTTTGCTGTAATTTCGAAGACAAACTCTCTAGGTCAATCTTCACCCTTCTATCATCCGGCCTCTCAATCCGTATATCTTCCTCCATGAGGCCTAAACCAATTTCATCATCATTTAATCGAGAGCCCATGTTTGTCGATTCAGCCCAATTCTCTTTAGAAAAACCATGTGCCTCATGCTGATTGTCACGTGATCTGGCCTAAAAACTATCATCATACACTACATCAGGTTTACGCCTTCCTCGACCTTCATAGCCTTCGCACCAAATATTCTTATTTTTAAAAGAGCTTCTCAAACTACTGCCAACAACATCTTCTGGCCAATCACTTTTACAAACCACCATTGCCTCCTCCCAACTTTTAACCGAAGAAACACATAAGTTTGGACCATAGCACGGAATAGACGGATCATTGACTGCCATTAATCTATTTAATCTGCACGATCTAGAATCATGACCAATGATTCCACAATTATAACAGAAACCGTGAAGCCGCTCATACTTCACCTCAACCCAAACAGGATCTCTCTCTGGTCTTGGCAACCAAAAACTAGATTTCAAAGTCGTCTCAAGTCTACCACCACTCTACCTCTAGCAAAACTCCTCAAAATCATCTCATCAACAATCAGAATCTTGATCAGAGCTACCTTACCAACAGCCTCTGCCATGCTTCTAATAATATCCTCTGTCATCGCTTCCAATGGAATATTATGAAATTGTACCTAAAATAAACATGAATTAAAATCAATTTCCGATATCACAGAAAATTGACTCCATTCTTGAATATTCAACAAATATCCATTAATTGACCACGGACGATTGCGTAAGATTCTTTTCTTCTCTGATTCCTCCTTGAAATTAAATATGAAAGTATTAGATTTAATCTCTTGGATCTCAACATCTTCATCCAGGTTCCATCCTTTCTTCACCTTTGGACTAACATTATTCCGATTCATAGGATGCTCAGTCATTATTTTGCCAACTAAAATCTTCTTTCCAATCCTCCGATCACCATCCCGACACCAATTCGAAGCCACCGTATCACCATCATAATGATGTCGATCACTATCATCCATCTCAACCTCCATCTCCATTACACTGTACTACTACAAAACTAGCCCCTCGATACACTCGAGGAAAAAAACTCAAAGAGAGAAAGAGAAATGGACACTTCTCACTCAGAGAAAACCTATACAAGTTTGACGGCTTGTTTTTTAGGCAAACAGTTTGATATGAAAGATGAAATATAATAAAATAAAAATTAGAATAAAGTAAAAAAATAACTTCTGTAGATGAAAAAACTAAAAATTTTCTTATCCCCTTGCTTCAAAAATTATTAAAAAGCGATAGAAACTGCCCATGTTGAAAATTAAGGTCTTACCCAAACCTCATCATTTTTTATCATAAGGTTTCCAATCAAGATTTGTGGATCTGAAAGTTCACGCCATGTTTTCCTAGCTTCTCTTGAATAACAACATTAAGCTTTTCAATCATGTCAGAGGTAAGAAATTCTCCCCATCCCCAACATCTCCACGTCTAAAGAAAACATTATTATCTACCCCACTCAACAATTTGCCAGTCTTGTTCACTTGCATGCTGCTCAAATTCTCAAAACTGCAAAGCTTCATAATATCATTGATAACATTACCATTCTCTTCCTCCTCAGTAAATCCACGTCCCATAAATTCAGCTAAGTCCTTCAAAACCCTTGCTGGCTCACCCTTCAACTCCTCATACGTAAAAAACATTACCTTATTTGGCATTTGCTGACTCTGCTTGTAATATCCAAAAATGTGATCCCAAAATGGGCCATAAGGATTCCTTCCTTCGCAAAAGCTCTCCAATGATTCCTTAAATGACCTAGGCTCTTCGACTTGTGGTGCAAACTTTTTGATGAAGTACCACAATGATGTGAACATGTCCTTAGGGTTTCTACACAAGTACACAATCATACACTTTGATAGCTTCACTGATTCTGACATTCGAATGTATGGCACATGGCTTGGTAAAAGTGTTTTTTATAAAAAATAATTAAAAAATGAAAAATAATTTTTGTAATTACTTTTAGTGGCACAATTTTTATAAAAATAATTAAAAATTTTAAAATAATTTATATAATTACTCTTAGTGGCGACACTTCATTGCCACCAAAAGTATTTTTATAAAAAATAATTTAAAAAATAAAAAATTATTTATGTAATTACTTTTACGGGTAACATTTTGTGGTTGCCAAAAGTATTTTTACAAAAAATAATTTATATAATTACTTTTTGGGGCAACATTTGTTGCCACTAAAGGTTTTTTCTTGAAAAAATTAAATATAATTTAAATTATATCAAATAATTTATAAAATTATAATGAAGATAAATTATACCTAAATACTTACATATATTTACATAAATGACATCAGAATGTTAAAGTTGTATAAATATTGTAAGATATAAATGTCATTACAAACTACTTAATACATTGCACACTTGATGCTTGGATTAGCATACACATTGTGTCCACTCCATCTACTGAGCTCTAATGATTCTTTAACAAAGATGTCTTGTGATTTTGTCTAGTGTTTAGGTTTCTATTGTAGTGAAAAAAGAAGTCACCAATACAATTTGTATAACAGATTATTACTAAGAAGAATGTGAAAAATCATTCAAAGATGCTTTACTGTTATGAGGTAGAGAATAATTAGAAGTTAGCTAAATCAATCACACATGAGATCCTTGTAATTATTTTGTATTGTAAAAGTTATTAATATTTATTAAAAATTCAAAATTGTTAAAAATGACTATTCAAAATTTTACATGGTTAAAAGAGATTTATTTGTTAACATATTTTTTAAGATAATTGAAAAATTGTAGATAAAATTTATATTTAATAAAAGAAAGGGCAGCATTTAACTTGGGAAAAGATAAAAATTTAATCATTTATTTATTGACTTTTGAGAAAAATATGTAGAAGATAAAAGTAGAAGATATTTAACATAAGATAATATAATAAATATTTATAAAAAAATTATATACTTAATTATTTAATTTGAAAAATAAAAATAAAATTTATAAATTTGTTAAAATGTTTAACATCGATATTTCACGCACGATACCTTTGAAAATAAGGAATCTAATTCATGCCCAAAAAAAAACAGGAAAAAAAGCAGGGGTTTTAATGAGTCAATAGTTTCCTTTTAAAAGCTACTACATGTTTTCGTGATTTTAGCTAAAATTAAATAAAAAAGGATGTTAATAATCATTAGTTTGTGCACATTGTTATTTTCGTCTGGTAATTAATAATAATGCTACATAGATAGCAGAACAACCTGGATTTGTGTTTATCCAAATCCAATGTTATATAATTTTAACTTGGAAAATTTGCCTTGGAAAAAAGGATTAACTTATAATTAATTTTTGGTGGCAAACAAATAAATTTAGTTCATTAAGCAAATAGAGCAGAGATTAATTCATTAATTATTAGAAGAGAATAATTAGAAGTTAACTATATGAAAAATTATCCAAATTTTCCTGGTTGTTATGAGGTAGAGAATAATGGAAGTCAGCTAGATCAATCAATATCCTTGCAATTATTTTTCATTATAAAAGTTATTAATATTCATTAAAAATTTAAAATTATTAAAAATGACTATTAACAAAATTTATATTATTTAAAATAAGATAAAATATATATGTATTTTTTTGTAATAATAAATTTTTTGATATATGTGTATGTAGTTAGATAATATATATTCAATTTTACATATAATAATCACAGATACATTCCAGTCTAACTAGCAAATAAAGAAATTTAAGGCTTGAGCAGTGGAGGTTAAGGGCTAAAATCTTGGATTGGGTATATTTTACAATGAATATGTGATGCGACGTGTGGTGATGATGTGGCATGAGGAGCCACACACGTGACGGGGTGATGTGGCATGAAGAGTCACACACGTGGCTGAGTGCCTTGGAGTAAAGTGTCAGGTGACGTGGCATGAGGAGGTGCAGACAAGGTAGGTTAACGTGGCACGGGATGGCTCTTTATTTATTTATTCTTGTGAAAAAAAAAGAACATTTGGTGGTAACAAAAGGTTGACACTAAAGATTTTTAGTGGTGACTTTTTACTGTTAAAAGGTTGTCACCAAAAGTCTGATCTCTATTAGTTTTGGACAATGACAAACTTTGTCATTGTCAAAAATATACTGTCATATGCAAAAATAAACCGTTAGCGCTGAAAACATTTTGGCAGTGACAGTTGTTGCCGCTAAAAATATACTTTTGCTAGCAATGATTTTGGATTTAATTAAATAACTGACAAAAATCTTTTTTTTTTTTAGTATTGTCACTTAGAACTTCATAACAATCATAGCTTTTACATATCACTATGAGAAAATAATCAATTATTAAACGCTTTCGAGATGCTTCTTCAAAGTCAGCTAAGACTTGCAAAGTTCATGAACAAACATATACCCAGCAGGCATATAGACTAAGGTCATTTATTGCAGAAAACAGTGATGATCGATAAGAAATTCACCTGCATTAAGATAAAAATAATTAGGTCAAAAAAGAGACCCTAGATAAAAGAAAGCTACACAACTTTGCTCTATTGCTTACATGATTTTTTAATTATTGATCTGATTAACATATTTTAAAAAGTGGTTATAAACGAAGCAAAAGCTACTTAAATAGGTTAAAATGAAATACGAAAGAACATAAAAAAAATAACCGTAACAAATTGAAAAGAAAAAAAAAGTTCCACATCCCCCTAAATTAAAAAAAATATATATTAAAAAGTGGTAGAAGCTGCCCTTTGCAATTGAAGTTTTACCCATACCTCATCATTTTCGGCCGATCAGGATTTCAATCAAGATTTGTGGAACTAGAAGTTCACGCCATGCATTCCGAGCTTCTCTTGCGTAATAACGTTAAGCCTTTCAATCATGTCAGAGGTGAGAAAATTATCCCCTTCCCCAACATCTCCACATCTAAAGTAGATGTTATTCTCTTCCCCAGTCAACAATTTTCCAGTCTTATTCACTTCCAAGTTGCTCAAATTCTCAAAACTACAAAGCTTCATTATATCATTAATAACATTACCATTTTCTTCCTCCTCAGTAAATCCATGCCCTATAAATTCAGCTAAGTCCTTCAAAATCCGAAATGGCTCGTTCTTCAACTCCTCATACGTCAAAAACATTACCTTGTTTGGCCTCTCCAAACTCTGCTTGTGGTATCCCAAGATGTGATCCGAAAACGGGCCACAAGCACTCTTTCCTTCGCAAAATCTCTCAAATGATTCCTCAACTGACCTGGGCTCTCGGGCTTGTGGTAGTAATTTTCTGATGAAGTGCCACAGCGATGTGAACATATCCTTTGGATTTCTACACAAGTACACTATCTTACACATTGACTACAGATTCTGGCAATGAAATGTATGGCATATGGCTTGCAAAGAGCCTTGGTGATGGGAAGGAGCTCAGATCGGGGATGTTTTGATGGATGTAGAGATTGATCTCTAAAAAGGGTACAAGATCATGAGGGTTTGCAGTGAAGAGAGGGTGAGGGCGATATTGGTTCTTATCAAGATTTGGATTTGGGTGATGGATCTTACGATTGAGAATGGCATAGGCTAGGGCTTTGAGCCAAGTGGTGCCAGATTTTGGTAGAGAAACAAGAATTATGTCAGAGTCACGAGCTTTGAAGTGTTTTTGGCTATTAAGGATCCCTTGCATTTGTTTTGTGGTGTGCCAAAAACCATTATATTGATGGATGGTAAGTGGTTGCCAAAATGTATCGCAAGGTAAGGTGGCAATGAGGTGCTTGTTTTCTTGGGTTAATTCGACTTTCTGTAGATACTTGGGAACATTGGAGTGTTCAGAGTTTTCTGCCGCCATGGTTATAGTGAGAACACTTGAAATCAATGATGAAGTCATGAAGGTTTATATATATATATAGATATATATATGAAAAAAAATCAAAGGCATGGATATGTTCTACAAAGGCAACAACAAAGGTGATGGAGAGGTACTGGTGGCGTGGAGCTTAGCCTTAGCGCCGCCTCTATCCGTCTATCGTGTCTTTATTAATATTGACAACCACGTGGCCGATAGATATTAGATATTCCGAAAGGATATAACTCTTTCTTCAACATTGAAAGAAGATATGGATTAGATCTAGAATTTTAAATTGAATATAATCATGTAAGAACAAAAGTTGCATAAATGGTCCGCTAGACATGGTCACCACGTCGGAATCGCAATTTCTGGCAATAATGAAAAATGATGACTTTAATATTTCAATTTCAATTTTACATTAAAGGTGCGTGTAGTTTTACTCCTCCATTATGTAATGCTACCTCGTGCTAATATTAAAAAATACATATTCTCTTTTATCCCTGTTACAAGGCAGTTTTAATTATTTCACCAGAATTAATGAAATGTAGTTAAGTCATTAACTTTGTTTGAAAAAAAAATAAAATTATAAATTTACTCATATTTAAATAAAAAAATTTAAATTTACATTACATTTTATTTTATAGTTAATGAATTTGACTGGGAATAATATTAAAAAAAATTAATTAATACTCGACCAAGTGCCTTGTATTAAAGGTGCGCGCTCATCAATTTCAACTATAAATGCGCCATAATAAAGACTGGAGGACTACAGACTAAGAAAGTATCAAAATTAATCTATTATGTATAAATTAATTTTTCGTTTTACTGTCTATATAACTTTCTACATAATATCAAAATATTTTAACTCTCTACTGCCTGAAAACAAGTATTATAATTATAATTATACCTAAATGGTGCCACGCCCTAAAAAATTATAGTTGCATGTTGGTAAGTTTATAGGTACGTATGAGTTAGGTAATTATCTTTAGAATAAATCAAAGAGAATTTAAGGACCAATTAAGCTTAGAAGAAGACCATCGATTTAAAATGATAAGTTATAGGGACTAGAATGACAAGAAAAGTTTTGGGACTAAAGTGCAAAATATTTTGTAGTGAAATTTTACTTTTCACTCTAATGTGAATTATTAGGCAATTTAACTAGACAAAAAATGATTTAAAAATTCCTTAAATAGATGACCATAAGATCTATTGGAATATATATTTGGATTGTACAATTACATTAAGAAAAAAAGATAAAAATCAGAGAAAGAATTTAGGAACTTGTCTATCATTAATTTTACCATAGAAGTTACCTAGGGTCCTTAGCAGACACTTTGTTTATAGCTAGGTAAAACTTCAATTAACCCCATTTTCTATCCCATTTAGTTTAGCAATGTCAATATTATTAGTTATGTATAGTTATTAGATTAATAAAGTTCATTTAAGTATTAATTAGGTTGTATTACTATCTTAATTGTCCTTGTAGTGTTATTGGTCTATCATTTCTTTTTTTTTTCTTTTTTTGGAATAGTTGTCAAGGCAAGCCCAAAGATTTGAAGATTCAAAATACAAACACCAGTTCATCACAAAAGTGGTCGGGTGTTCATATGGAAAAAACAAGGAAAAATAATAAGTAAGGACTATATAAAAACATTATTGTCAACTTAGAAACTTTAATACTAAAACATGTTACAAGAAGTACTCAAGTTTTGGGAATGCCATGTTTCAGTACTAAAATTCTTAATTTAACAATAATATTCTTACTAGGTCCTTACTTGTCATTCTCCCTTAAATAATCCACCGACACAGTGGGGATGATCTGAATATCAAAACCTCCGCTCACATACCTAGCATGTTGGTTCACACACTTAATACCCTCACAATACATATGAGCAATGTATATAGGGTAAATCAATCCAAATTTGTCTGATCTGCTGTATAACAGCCTCCAACTGATGATAAAAGTATCCTTCACGAATCATCAGATTGAGTGCATTCAATGAATCAATAAAAATAGTCACTTTTTTGCAAATTCCTCTCTTGGATAATTTTCAATGCATTTTGCACCACAGCCAATTCAACAGCAGTTGGGTTTAATTCACCAAGATTTTGTTTCAAGCCAAGTGCCCAATCTTTATGCCAATTCCTTAACACTCCTCCACCAGCCACATGTCCTTCTAGATTAATAAATCCATCCACTTCAAACTGGAGTTCATCTTTTTCTGGGGGAGTCAAGTGAGTCTGCATTTGGCATTGAGAATGATCTTACAAGCTCCCTTAAGAACGCTTTTCTCCATGAGTTGATGCAAAGTAGAATGATAAATTTGTTGAGTGTTTGATCTGGATTGCTCAAATGCTCTTTGGCATCGATTCTTCTATAGATGCAGCAAGCTAGATTGAATGTTTTCTTCCAAGGCCATTTAGAGATCCCCTCTTAGCCAATGTCTTCCTTGATATTCCATTCAAGACAATCCTGCAAGACAAATAGTAGAATTTTTGCAAGTAATATGGGTTGATTATGATAGATGACCAAAATTCTTGAGCTAGATCGCAATCCCTTAAAATATGTAAGACAGATTCCTCATGTGAACACCCAAAAGGGCATATATCACTCACACTCGGCCCTCTTTTAGCTTTTAGGATACAAGTCAAAAGTCTCTCATGATTAACTTGCCACAAGAACATTTTCAATTTCTCTAGAACGAGGAGTTTCCAAAGAGAAGAGCAGCCACACCCCGAGTTTCCTCTAGTATTGCAGTTCACAAACTCATAAGTTGCTCTTATTGAAAAATTCCCAATTGGTCCATTCCTTTAGCATAACTTATCCATTTCTCCATTAAAGGGGGCCAAATATTTAATAGCTTATTAACAATATTAGATGGTAAAATCTTTAGGAGAATGAAAAACATCTTTTAAATAAAATATATAGAATGAAAGAAATAAAATAAATTGATTTGGGTTTTATTTAGCTCTTTTTTGTTGTTGCTATTTTTCTTTTCTTTTTTTTTCTTTCTGCACCTTTTCATTTTCTTGTCTTTTCATTTTCTTTCTTTTTTATTTTTTATTTTTTTGCTTTTTTTTTCCTTTTTTGCTCTCTCTATTTTTATTTTGCCCCATTTTTTTTCCAAAAGAACACAAATCTCTCTTCAAATGTATTCTTTCATTCAAACAAATATAATGATATGCTTTTCATCACCTAAAGTAGGGTGAGAAAAATGAAGGGAAAATAAGGTATTTTATTGGTTATATTTTCAATTGGTTGAAATTTCAAAGAAAAGGTATAGGCTTAAAGTGGCTAACAAGGGATACATTGAATTGCATAGGATAACTATTTGGCTAAGTAGGTTCAAGAAAATAATGCCTAAATCATCTTTATGCAAAGCATATGCAATTATAGTCTCAACTAAGAATTAAGACAAGTTCTAGAGTGAGAGTAGTGATAGGAAAGTACACACAAGAAGAAAATAATATTAGGCCCAAATCCTCACAAGCCAAAGACTATCACATTAATCCATTCAAACCAAATTCATTGCCACTTAACTTGAATTCCAAATACAAGATCAATTACTTATCATGCTCGAATGCATCCAAACTAAAATTGCCTTAAACTTGTAATTTCACACTTTTTTTATTTTTCAAGAAAACAAAGAAAAAAATAATAAAATGAAAATAGGAAAAAATTAAGTAAACAAGTTAAAATAGTAAAAACCTCCCCTACACTTAAAATCTATAATGTCCTCAATGTAGAACATTGTCCAAAAGATTTATGGGAAATTATGTAAATTGAAAGTGAAGAGAAGGGATACAACCTGATCGATTAAGTGTCATCTTAGAGGGCAAACTCCTCCACAATGTGTGTCTTGAATCTATAATAGAAATGCTTTATCTAGGGCCCATTATCTTTAAACTTTGTTTCAATAGACTCTGCCATAATCTCTACTCCACCATAAGAAAACACTTTAGCAACTACAAAAGGACCTTCCCATCTAGAATGAAGTTTTCCCGACATAAGTTTTAATCTAGCATTATAAAGCAGCAGTTTTTGTCCAACATTAAACTCTTTCTTAACTATCAGCTTATCATGCATCAGCTTGGTCTTTTCTTTATAGATCCTTGAATTTTCATATGCTTCCAAGTGATATTTTTCAAGCTCTTGCAATTGATTTTTTCTTTGATCTCCTACTTTGGCCAACTACATGTTGCATTGCTTCACTGCCTAATAAGCTTTCTACTCAATCTCCATAGGTAAGTGACAAGCTTTTCCGAAAGCAATCCGATAAGGAGACATGCTTGTTGGTGTCTTGTAAGCAGTTCTATATGCTCACAATGCATCCTCAAGTCTCTTACTTCAATCCTTCCTATTGGGTTTCATTGTCTTGTCAAGAATCTACTTTATCTCTTAGTTAAAAACTTTACCTTGCCTATTAGTTTGGGGATGATAAAGGGTAGCCATCTTATGCACAAATCCATACTTACCCAACAAACTTTACATGCTTCGATTACGAAAATAGGTCCTTTGGTCATTGATAACAGCCTTTGGAATACCAAACTTACAAAAGATATATGACCTAATAAAATCTACAACAACAGCAAAGCTATCAGTTCTAGTAGCTTTAGCTTCCATCCACTTAGAAACATAATCAATAGCTAGTAAAATGTAAGCAAAACTAAATGAGATAGGAAAAGGTCCCATGAAATCAAAACCACACACATCAAATATCTAACAAAAAAGTAAAGGTTGTTGAGGCATCTCATTTCTATGGGAGATATTTCCTGTATGCTGACATCTAGCACAATGCTTACAAATTACATATGCATCATGGAATAGAGTAGGCCAATACAATCCAGAATCAAACACTTTTCTAGTAGTGCGTTGTGGAACAAAGTGTCCTCTACAACCAAGTGTGTGACAAAAATGTAATACAGACTCAAACTCAGTGTTAGGAATACATCTCTTAATAATCTGGTCACTATCTATGTGCCAAAGGTATGGATCATCCTAAATGTAATATATAGCTTCCTTCTTAAACTTATCTAATTGATATTTCATTAAATGCACAAGCAATGTAAAGGAAGCTAAGTAATTAACTAAGTCGACATGCCAAGGATTAACATCATGCATAGCACTCAAGCATTCATCAAGAAAATTATCATCAATAAGAATAGAAGGAACTATGTAAGTGTCACATCTTGGCACTAAGGGTATGATTGCCATGGAATCTGAGATAAACTCACATCCCATAAGCCTTAATTATATAAAATTAAGTTAAAATATCGATAACTAATTTATATATATAATTGTAAGGTTCAAAAAAAATCTTAAATATTCTATAAAAATTTTGGTAGAATTTCCCTTGTAATTTAGACCTCCTAAAATTTTACAATAACAAAACCTGTTAGCTAATATAGTAAAAGAGCTTAGCTCCATACTAGCAGATTATAAATCATCAAAACAAAACAAAACTAGGATCTAACTATAGTATACATGGAGCACTAGATTAAAATTATATCAAAATAACTAGAATGTACTTCCACTATCTAAAAAGTGATACTGCCTCTCAACAATCAACAGATAGGGTCATCTACAACATCTGAGACCAAAGAATTTTCTAGTGAGTAGCGTCTCAATTGAGATTATAAATTATAATTAATTAAAAATAAAATGTGACAAGTAGTAACTAATAAATTTAGTTTAAACAAAATAAGAGAATAATGAAACTTACTTTAACTAACAATAAATGATGAGTTTGCTCAATAGTATAACCATGAAACCAACAATAGCATCAAAACCATATAAATTTATCAAAATTTTTCTATTAAATATATATACATATATATAAAGATTTCAAATAATGGTGCAATTAAAAAAATCCTTTAAAGAAACAAATATAAAATGATAAGTTTTAAATCTAATATAGGAAGGCTTTATCAGAATGAATAATACGTGTGGATACTCAGTCCACGAGAGTAAATAACCAATCAAGCATGGACACACAATTCACGAAGGTAAGTAACCAATCAAGCGTAGCTAAAAGCCATGAAACAAGCGCGACAGGAGCCACAAATCAAGTGCAAGCATGAGGCCTGCAAAAACAAGTATGAGTATAATACTCACGAATTACCATCCCTCCAATCCATGTGCATTAGCCTTCACACGAGACTAGCACCTTCAATAAACACCTTGCTAGCTAGGTGTACTATGGCGCGCCTCCTACAGCTAATGAAATTATCATTAGCATCCAGTGTTTTGAACTCAGTTTCCTTAATTAAAATCAAGCGTGCATGGAGTAGAAAATAATTTCAAAATTTTCACTTTCAAAATATACAATTCGGTTGTCATTTTTCATTCTCATATTCATTGTCATTTCCTCCATGCACGAGTTGTTGTGCTAAAGGTTTGCATATCAAACATAAAGGTAAACAATTGAGCTGTTTTTAAAAAGTAACACTGTTTGTCGTATATCAACTTTAATTATTATTTATCAATAGCATGAATCATTAGTAAAATCAAGATCTCATCATTAATAAAATAATTATTATAAAAGTAGAATTGACAAGAATTTTTATATAATAAATAAAGAAATAGTATTAAAATTTAAGTAAAGAAATTTTGTAAACAATTACTAAAAATTCATTCAGAATGCTACCCACTCACCTGAAAGTTTTTCAAAAGTTCTAAAATTTGCTTCTCTTACTTTACACTTTTATTCTAATGATGTCCTTAATGTCTTGACAAATAAATCAAAATTTTAATATCATTTATTAAATAATTTTCCAAGCACTTAATGGGTAATCCAACAATATTAAAGATAATACTCTAACTAATTATGTTTTAGGTATACTTGGGTTAGTTAAACCTTTGACAATTCTCAATTCATTCTCATAGCTCTTTATAACTTACCCTCAACCATAAGTCATAATATCTCATATCAACTATTCTCTTGCTTCTTTTGGATTTAATAACATACCATAAAGGCATTCTAGGCATTCCTTTCTCATATTTTGATATTTTTAAAATTTCAAAACTTACATATACTCCTTTGAGTAATATTCATAATTCATCTAAGCTCTACTATAAAAATTTAACAATCTCATTTCCACCAACAAATTTTCCAAGCACATTTACAAGCACCATGAGAACATTTACCATTAACAAAATCATGAGGCAAACATCCAAGCAAATTTAAACATTTTCAACATTTAATTTTTTCATCAATCTTTAGCTCAAAATTAATAGAATAGCATCCAGTGTTATCCAAAATAGCTCCTAAATTCTTTATTCAAGTATTTTCACAAACATCTTGAGGGCATCCAACTTTAGCTAACAATAATCATCTAGCCATTTAATCAACTTACCACATAAACTTTATCAACACTAAGCTTAGCATCACAATAAAATTGCACAGCATTAACCAATTCAGCTCCTTAATTCTCAAGCAAGTCATGGCAGCAACAAGAAAAGCAGAGGCAGAATTTTCAACCAAAAAAAAAAAAAAACAAAGAAGAAGAAGTTGAATTTATCATACCCACTCACACGGCACCCACTAGCTGAATAGGAAGGAAGAGTGAAGATGAAGATCAAGCAAACACACGATGCCAACAGTTTAGGAGGGAGAGCATATAGGAATCGAACGTACGCACCACCACGGTCGGCCACTGAGCAGAAAAGAAATAAAGAACAGCAACCCAAGAAGGAATTCAGTGACTCCAACTCCCTCTCATCTGCAGGAATGCGACGGCAAGCAGAGAAATTGAAGAGCACTCACCTCAAGTTAACATGAAGCTAAAAACGATGGCAGGGGAAAAAGCATCCAGCAACCCAACCTTACTGTAACATATGAACTTAGGCAGAAAGAAGAACGGAGATTGAGGCAACAACAGCAAAGAGACGCAGTCAACGGTGAGCAAAGAAAATTGATGAGAAGAACTAGAGAAGTGGAGCGATAATGAAGGAGCAGAGGAGAGTAATGGCGGTGAAGAGAACAAAATGGAATGCTCTACTTTTCTCGAACCATGGAGATTAATTCTGACCAAAAGAAGTATTTGCGAAAATTACAAGAACGAACACGGGAAATCACAAGAAAAGACACAAGAAAATTATACGGCAAGGCACAAGATTTTTATATAATTTAAAACTAAACTTTTGCTCGGAAAAAACTTAAACTTTGGATTTTTAAGAAATTTTCTAACAAAAGTTCCTCTAATTTACCATTTTCTACTTACTAAAAAAACTTATTTAAATAAAATATCTATTGGAAGAAAAAAAAATTATTCAATATAAAAATTAAGTTTACTATAGGAAAATTCAATGCGGCTCAAATGGTCTACAACATAATTCTTAGCTCCACCCTTATCCTTTATTTCCAAGTTAAACTCTTGTAGCCAGAGCATCCATCTGACTAATCATGGCTTTGCATCTGGCTTTCTTAAGAGATACTTTAATGCTACATGATCAAAAAACAAAAAAACTTTTACATTCAAAATATATGATCTAAACTTATCTAATGTAAAGACAATAGCTAAAATCTCCTTTTCAATGGTAGTATAGTTGGCCTGGGCTGCATCTAAAGTTCTGAAAGCATAAGTTACGACATGTAATTTCTTATCAACTCTCTATAAAAGCACTGCACCAAGAGCATAGTTAGAAGTATCACATAATAATTCAAAAGGTAAATCTCAATTTGGTGGTTGAATGATTGATGGAGTGGTCAATCTCTTCTTTAACTCATCAAATGCTTGCTTACAAGCTTTATCAAATTTGACCTCTATATCTTTCTACAACAATCTTGAGAGTGGCAAGGCTATTTTACTAAAATCTTATATAAACCTCTTGTAGAGTCTTGCATGTCTAAGGAAAGAACGGACTTCTTTAACAAAAGTAGGATAAGGCAAGGAAATAATCACATCTACCTTAGCCTTGTCAACTTCTATCCCCCTCTCAAAAACACCATGACCTAATACAATACCTTATTTAATCATGAAATGACACTGTTCAAAGTTCAATGCAAGATTTTTCTCAATACATCACTCAAGTACTCTATCTACATTCACTAGACACTCATCAAATGAATCCTCATATATATTGAAATCATCCATAAAAACCTCTATGTAATAGTCTAGTAAATTTACGAAGATACTCCTCATGCATCTCTGAAATATGGCCGGGGCATTGTATAATCCAAATGGCATCCTCCTGTAAGCAAACGTGCCAAATGAACATGTGAATGTTGTCTTCTCTTAATCCTCTAGAGCTATGCAAATTTGAAAATAACTTGAAAAATCATCTAAAAAATAATAGTGAGATTTGCCTGCTAATTTCTCTAATATTTGATCAATAAAAGGTAAAGGAAAGTAATCCTTCCTGGATGCATCATTTAGCTTTTTGTAGTTGATGCACATCCTCAAGCTATTTTGCATTCTCATAGGAATCAAATCATTCTTTTCATTCTTTACTACTGTGATCCCACTCTTCTTTAGCATTATCTTTACTGGACTCACCCACTAGCTATTAGAAATAGGGTAAATGATAATTGCAGAAAGAAGTTTTATTACCACTTTTTTTACCACGTCAAGGATATGTAGGTTAAACCTCCTTTGAGGTTGCCTACATGGCTTTACACCATCCCCCATCAAGATCCTGTGCATGCATATATCTAGACTGATGCCTGGAATGTTAGCTACTGTTAATCCTACAGCTTTCTTGTGCTTCCTCAATACCTCTAATAGTCTTGCCTCTTGACTAAGCTCAAAATCCCTTGCTATAATAATTGGCAATTTCTCACCATCATCTAAGAATGCATTTCAAATGTTCTGGTAGATCTTTCAATTCAAGTGTAGGTAGCTGCTGAATAGAAGGCATTAGCTTATTGAGAGTGATCTCAACAACTCCATAAACTTGCATTACATCAAAAGAAGTAGCAACATCTTGCTCTAGAACACTAGAACTAACATTATTAATAGAATTACATGAAACAGAGTCACTAGTAAAGTCCACCATTTTTTTAGAATAAAAAACAATCATGTCAGAGTTACTGGAAGTGCCTATGTGAATATTGTGCATGGACTTGAATAATTCAAAAATATCATTAGAACTAGTATAATCAAAAGAATCGTCAGAAACACTAGAGATGATATCATGATCACCGATAAAGAGAGGCTGGATGTTGTTATCGGCATATTGCAATAGTTCGGAGAGTTTGATGTCCTAGCTTGGTGTTCCTGTACTGCTTCCCCCTGAACCAATCATAGGCATACTTCTCAAAGGTGGCCACTGGACAAAATTAAAACAAACAAGCCTTAGACCATTATATTCAACAATAAACACTGAGTAAGCTATGATCACTCTCGGAACAAGGTTCTTCTACAAATCTAACTCAATGCAAATGCGTGCATACCTCCCCCTCATAGTGGAGACAATTTAATTATTAATGTTCGACAAGGTGCACATATCCACCTTGACAAGGTGCATGTACATTCACCCAAACACTAGATAAAGTTCTTATTATAATAGTGCATTGCGATCTTAGGAATCCTTACCTATACCGTAATATGCTCTAGCGGGTTATTGAAAGGATTAAAATAAGGTGACCAAGTTTGGACATGGACACAGTGCTGCATTGCAACCCACGATCCTTTGAATATTCTTATATATTGTGCTTTCATTTGCTCTAAGTCAGTGAAACAAACCACATAGTAGTTGTTACTTAAGTTTATCAACTTGAACTTTGGAATACCACAAATCTTACTTAATTAACCATTTTTTCAAGTCACACTTACGTAAACGTTTACCCAACATTGTCAGCACAAAAGCCTTGATTCCACAGTTTACACTAGTCTTGCAGCTCTTCTTCTATCATCGGAACAACTGGGTAGAGTTTCATTAATTCCTTCATCTCCTCCATAAGTACTAGAGGCTTCCATGGGATGTCATCTTCTTCATGCATCAGGTCATCAACCTCCATCACCACATCACCATTGGCAACTTTAATAAAGCCCATCAATGAAGCTTTGTATGATAAAGGTGGCACCTTCTATTTGCCTATTTTTCGTTTATCAAGTTTGATATCCTAATTTTTCACTGACTCAGTAAAATCATTTGACATATAAGCATTCACCTTCTTCAACTTGTTCACATCCCTTCCCAAGTCCCTCGGAGGATAGTCAAGCAATTGCTTCTTCAGAAGAAAGGTTCCATGAACGAGTTCTCACAAACTGACATCCAAAGCGATGATCGAGATCTGGTGTAATAACCTGGAATTTCAAATTAAGCTAAATTTATAATATGGTATTTTTAGTATGTCTATATATATATAATTATGAAACAAAAATAACGCGAGGATGATGGCATAGTGGAAATTATAGGGGGAAAAAACCATCAAAACTTGAGTTCGAATCTTATAGGTGAGATAACATGTTTTTTTTTTATCTTGTCTCGGCTTCTTTAAATTACCAGTATGCCCTCAGCTTCTTTAAATCAGATATTTTTCTTCTTTCTCTCTCTAGACAAGCAGTTTCGAACCAATGAGAGAAGCTCTGGAATTCTCTACCATTAGCTTTGTCTTCTCCTTCTTCCTTCTCTGTACCAGTCATCTTCAACGTTGATGAGTGTGAGAGCTTCAACTATCGATGTTGAGTCTCCTCCATCCCTGTTCGGCCATTGAATCTTCCTTTCTTCTTCCAAGCAGCAACAACGTCCAAGTACGACTCTGTTCTAGTGCAGCTGTGGGGGTTGTGTCGAACTCTTTCCTCCCTTGCTTCACCATCAACTCTCCCTTTCCATTTCTTCCGTTCATTTGCGTATGCGTCTGGGGAAGTAAGAGCCGTTTATTTCCCTCCGTTCTTTGATCATCGTCCCCTGTTTCTGGCTGCAAAAATCTTCATTTCTCTCTCATTTGTGCTGCTGTAGATTCTTCTTCCTTCTTCCTTCTTCCTTCCTGTTCATCCGCCCAAGATCTTCTCCTTCTTGCTCCTTCTTTGCTCTGTCATGCTGAGGTGAGGAGCGTCGAATCGTCTTCTTGCTAGCTCTGTGTGTGTGTGTGTGTAAATAGTAGAGATAATATTTTTATTTAGTGTGTGTGAGGTTATTGCTGTGCGCGCTTATGGAAAGGGGGTAGGATTCTGAACCAAGCTGGAATTTTAGTCTATTGAAAGAGATAGTGTGTGCTTGGACTACAATTGAATTTATATTGATTTTGTTGAAAAAATAAACTTGGGATGCTAGAATAAATTATGTTTTGATGTTGTAGGATTATTGAAAAATTGTGGGATGAGATTTAAAGGAAGAACTTAGCATTATGATTTGAATATAGGCAATATTAATTTTGTTGAAGAAATAAACTTGGGATGCTAGAATAAATTATGTATTGATGCTTTAAGATTATTGGAAAAATTGTGGGATGAGATTTGAAGGAAGAACTTATCATTAAGATTTGAAAATTGGTGCCTATAAAATGTTTGATAAAATGCTTAAAAGAAAGAATATTGGTGGATGATGGAAAATATATGTGATGATTGAATTATTGATAATTAAATTGTCATGGAAGACAATTATCCTCTACAAGAAAAGTTAAAGCTAGAGATAGAGTTGTTTGAAAAAGAGTATTTTGTATAAGTAATTCAAGAGCCAATTTATTATTAAGATATTAATCATTAAAATGCCTATCAAATGTTTGAAAAAAGATATTGAAGTTAAGAGTTATCCACCTTACGTTTTGAGTTATTTTGGATTGAAAATATTAAATAATAATAATAAAATCTATAAAAGAAAATAACAATGGCATTTCTTGGGCACTAGGATTTAAAGAGCAAGAATTGTTGCAAGATGACAAGCTATAAGTGAGTTATTTATTTGAAAAATTATCAGTAAGTGAATAGCATCCCAATTAATTTATCAATAAAATTTTCTTTATGAAATATATTAATGCCATTTTACTTTCTTATTGTTTTATTATTAGTAAACCATATTTATCAACGAATGATTCCTTTATTGAGCCAATTCTAATTTAATGGATCAATTTATTATGTGAAATTATTTTATCCTGTGAGAATATACATAATTGTGACAAAAGAATAATTAAATTATGACATATACATGTATCTTCCTTATGAGTTATAGTTTTAAGATTTATGAAATTATCTTGATTACCTTTGGAAATTTTAGTCACTAGTTAAATGCAAGAATGGACATTATTTAAAAAATTTTATTATGACAAGTATTAAATTGAAGCTTAAGATGATTCGTGCAAGTTTGGTATTGAGAATGAAAATTATATTTTAGAAATAATTATTTTTCTCGCGTGTTCCAAAAATAATTTTGAGAGGACTTTGAGCAAAATACTGTTGTTGACGGCAACTCTATTAGCCCTTGGTATGCCTTGGTTAATAATTAGCTAGTTTAATTTTCATGGACTTGTTCTTACATTTGATATTCGTGGGTCTCGTACTTGCTTCTGTTTCCTGAATTTGACCATATCTGGTTAGTTACATTCGTGGACTGTGTGTTCACGTCTGTTTCGTAGATTCGATCATGTTTGGTTAGTTATCCTTGTGGACTGTGTGTCCACTCCTATTTCGTGGCTTTAGCCGTGTCTGATTAATTATCCCATAGACTGTGTGTCCATGTCTGTTATTTGTTCTACAAAGTCCTCATAAACAAATTAATTTTATTGAATTTGTAAAAAATAAACTTCATTGTTTTAGTTAGTAAATATTTATATTCCTATTTAATTATTTAATTTACTTGATTTCTCAAATCCAGGTGATAAATTGTTTATTTTATTTAGAATTTAATGGTTCAATATTTGTGAAGTTTATTAGGATATTTAAATTCTTGAATTTGGTGTTTTTTAATTTGTTTATAATTATCTGATCATATTCATTTATATCTTTTTGATTTTATTACTGAGACGTTATTCACTGAAAATAATTTTGGTCTCAGATAGTGTAGTTGATACTAAACCACCTACCGAATATTGAAGAGTCTATTACGGACTAGAGGTGGAGGAGCTAAGGGTTAAACTTTCTTTTGATGTAAAGTTTTAATTATGAACTTTTATTTTATAAACTTATTTTAGATACTCCACATAGTCTATAGCTAGGTCCTTTAATTTATTATATAATCTGTCTGCTAGTTGGAAGGAACTTTGTTCCTGATTAATTTAATATTTTGATTAAAGTATTGTATTGTAGAATTTTTAGGAAGGCCTATTTATAGGGGAGGTTTTGTCAAAATTTCTACAAAAATACTGAAACTTTTGTTATAGGTAAAGGCATTAAAAATTTTAATATAAATTTAATTATGTTTTAAAAATAAATATTAAATATTAGATTAAGGTTTCCTTTACCATAGTTTAAAGGATGTATATTGGTGTATACATCTCGTGCTAATCATGTCTAATTTTTGGGATATGACATTTGGTGTGTGAGTCCGGCAATGGAGATCTAGTGTGCAAGATGTGGTATGTGACGATTGAGATCTGATGTGCTTATTGGTCTAACTAATTCCCTTTTAAAAATAATAATAATAATTTTAATTAAGATCAGTTAGCCAATAATATTAAAGATAAAAGAGATTAATTCAACTAGGAAACACAATAACTACCACCTATCCCTTAAAATATCAATAGTAAACATTTTATTCACGTTTAGTTTTTAGTTGTGGTTTAGCGCCATTTTGTTAGCATATGAATGTTCTATTTTTATTCTCGGTTAGTTTAAAAATAATTTTTCCAAGAGTAGCCTTGGAGTTGTGTCCACATTAAGGGGTGGCAAAGGGTTCATTAGGTGTCACAGTTAGGGGAAATGTGCGGCAAATAAGGGGGTCGACATGTCATGCCAAGGATATAAAACCCACCAATGACTCATCTCTTTGAAAGTTGATATAATGATTTTAAATTTTATATTAAAAAAATTATCTATTAATTAATAATTTATTTTAATTTTATAACAAATGAAGAGTAGTAACTTAATAAAACTAATATTATTATTCATATGAAAATTTAAAGTTAAATATTACTTAAGTTGAAGATTAATTTTATTTTTGTTATATGAAAAATTACTAAAGTACCATCATCTCTTGTTAAATATATATATATATATATAGTGAAATAAAAATAATCACAATCTTGAATTGTAAATATTTCAATTAGTTTTGGTCTTGTTGCGTAATTTTTCTCAACAAGAGTCATATATTATTTTCTATTGCTCTTTGTCGGTCAAACACGCAGAAGAGATTCAGCTTCGCGAGTGTTCTCTATTTTTCTGTTCTCTATTTTTGTTTCTTTTTCTTCTCTTCTCCGTCACATGAGCTCCCTCCTTTTGTTAGTGGACTTTCTCCTCATCATCAACTACTTGTTCATGTGGAGTGGCTGAAACTTTCTTCCCCATTTCTGCTCTGTTTTTGCGGCGGACGAAGGTGTGTGCGCACCTGCTCTGTTTTTATCTTTTTCTTCTTCTTCGGCTATTGTAAAGTTTGTGTGTGTGTGTGTGGTAGATCAACTATGTTGTTTGCTGGCTAGATGTTGGTCTCCTTCCTCCTCGTGCGTTATGGAAGCTTGAAGCTCTTCTTTGTTCCTTCTTTGCTATCACTCTTGTTTTCTGTTCAGGTTTGGCTCCGTGTGTATGTACGTGTGTGTATCTAGCTTCACTTATTCTTGTTTCTCAAGATCTGAGCGTCTTGCATATGTGTATGTAATCTCAAATCCTATCCTTTCTTGGCCACGATAGCTGGTCTTCTTCCTTATCATCCGAGCTGCAGAACAGAGCATTTTCTTTCCTTCTTCAGCGTCGACTACATAATGGTTCTAAGCTGTCACCACTGCACTTTGGGTTGAGGTACATCATTAATCCTCTCTTCTCCCTCTTCGAGTGCAACATTAGCATTGAAACAATCTCTTCTTTTTCCAGTCGGTTGATGGGGTTCTGTTCTTTATTCTTGGTGTGTACTTTTAACTAGGATTGAAATGTTGCTTTCGGTTGGGGCTGGAAATTGTTTGATTATGTTGAATTGAAAGATTAAAAAAAATTAAATTAATAATAATAAAATAGAAGTTTGAAATTTGTTGGAATTTCTTAGTTATTCATTTCATAATTTTGTCAATAATAAATGCATGCCCTCAAGGTAATTGTAAAAATGTTTGAGAAAAGCATTTGATGAATTATGGTTGGTTAAGCCTTCATATTATAGCTAAGAGGAGTGTATGTTAGTTTTGGGTTCAAGTTGTTAATTGAAAATTAAAAAAATAAAAAAAAACCAATGTGGGGTAAAAGGATTATATAGGATGCTTGTTTCATATTTAGTCTAGAGGAAGCTTAAGAATGATAAATATAATTTATAACGAGCATGGGTCATAAGAAAGTCCAAGGATAAATTGAGAATTGTCTTAAGTGTACTTGAAATGTAATTAGTTATAGTATTGTTAGTATGGATTGGATTAAATATTAATGTCCATTAAGTGCCCGGAGGATTATTGAAGGAATGATTTTAGAATTTTGATTCATTTGTCAGGACATTAAGGATATCATTAGATTAAAGGTCAAAAGTTAAGAGAAGTAAGTTTTAGAATTATTGAGAAAACACTTAGGTGATGGATAACATTTGAAATAAATTTTTAATGATGTTTTTATAAAATTTCTTTATTTAAATTTTAATATTATTCCCTTGTAAATTGTATTAATATCCTTTTCAATTCAATTTTTTATAATAATTGTTTTATTGATGATCATGTCTTAATTTTACTAGTAATTTATATTATTGCAGTTTAATTATTTAATTCCACGTTTAATTTGAAAAATGAATCTGAGTAATGGGATTTAATAGCAAAATAATATGGTTGAAGGTGAAAACTTTGAAATTGCTTTCTTGCTCTATGCATACTTGATTTTATTTAGAGGGATTGAGTTCATAACACTAGTTGCTAGCGGCAGTTCTGTTAGCCCTTGACGTGCCATGGTATACCTAGGTAGCAGGATGCTTGTAGGAGATGTTAGCCCTGTGCACAGGCCAATGCACGTGGAACGGAGGGAAGGATATTCGTGAGTGTTGTACTCACGCTTGTTTCGTGGGCTTTATGCCTGTACTTGTTTCATGGCTTTTAGTTACGCTTGATTATTTTGTAGCTTTAAGTTGTATTTGTTAGTTATTTATCCTCGTGGACTGTGTGTCCACGCTTAATTGATTACTTACCCTTGTAAACTTTGTATCTACGCTTGTTATTCGTTCTGATAAAGTCCTCCTATATTAGATTTATAACTTATCATTTTTATATTAGTTTCTTTAAAGAAAATTTTCTTAATTGCTCCATAATTTGAAATCTTTATATATATATATATATTTAATAGAAAAAAATTGATAATCTTATTTGGTTTTAATGCTATTGTTAGTTTCATGGTTATACGATAGAGCAAACTTGTCATTCATTGTTAACTAAAGTAAGTTTCATTATTTTTTTAATTTGTTTAAATCATATTTATTAGTTACTACCTATCACATTTTATCATTAATTAGTTATAATTTATAATCTCGATTGGAACGCTACTCACTGAAAATTTTTTTGGTCTCAGATATTGTACATGACCTTGTCTGCTAATCGTTGAGGGGCAGTATCACTTTTCAGATAGTGGTAGCACATTTTTAGTTATTTTGATGTAAATGTATTGTTTTATGCAATTGCAACTTAGTGCTCCACGTATACTGTAATTATATGATGGTTTTATTTTGTCAACATGTAATTTGTTGGTGTGGAGCTAGTCTCCATTGTTGGATTGGTTGATAGGTTACATCATTGTAATAAATTTTCGGAGGTCCAAACTACAAGGGAGACTCTATCGAAATTTCTGTAAAATATTTAAGACTTTACAAATTTTAAATTATTATATACAACTTTTATATTAATATTTTAACTTAATCTCTAGCTAATTAAAACTTATAAAATGAGTTCATCTCATATTTTATGTCGGTCATACCTTGAGTTTCAGGATGTGACAGTTGATGTATCACATAAAGGAGTAATCTTTCGATAACTCAACTCTTGAGGGATGATGTGTTACCCAATGAACAAACCCATGATTCATCTCTCTCCTTCCACTATAAATTGCAATTCATCTTCATTCTTCCTATCATCTACTTTGGCATACATACACATATTCTCTTCCCCTCAACTCAAGGCTATTCTTATAGAGATATTGGACTCTCCATAACTTCAACTTGGGCTATTGGATACCAAGAGAGGAAGAAATGGAGGTTCCAAGCCTAAAAAATAATCTGAGTATTTATAAGAGTCTTGCACACTAGGTAGCAATACTAGCATTTTTTGTGCTTGACTATTACTTGGGTAAATTGTTTGCATGCATGGATGCCTTGATTTATATATGAATGAATTATATTCATGAATTGATTGGACTATGAAATGCATGAAATTATCCCTCGGCAAAAACAATGAATATTTAGGGTTTGGACAAGGCGATTCTTCCCTAAAAAAAAAAAAAGTGTCTGGACATGGCGACAGGTTCGATTGTGTTGTTAGGCAATTGGGATTGTGACCTTAGTCGTGACACCCCTCAAATTCAAGGTAAAATAACCAAAATGTAGTTCCACAAAGACTTAGTCTAACGTGACATTTGACAAAACCCAAACTTCAGGGCTAAACACTATGATCCTGCACCGAGGAAACCATTATTACTAGACCATAAATAGTTCATCATAGATGAGGGGGCTTCCTCTGCAATGAACGTCCCAAGAAATTAAAAAGCCCAAAATAGATCTCTCCTTTACACCATACATAACTCAATTTGTTAATAGACATTTAACAACAAGGGGCATTACAATTCCAATATCCCAACACAACACTAAAACACTTGGCCAAATACAATAAATACAAGTACCAAGAAAAGGTGGCCATGTACTTAAGCCTAACCAGTCTTGACCTCGTGCTGAGAAAGTGAGCTATAAAATCTCACATAAAACATTGTTAGAATGAGAGGTGAGATAACAATATCTTAATAGCTGAAGAAAAATTCTAATTTAGACAGGCATACTATAATAAAATATATTTTGATAAGAAGGTGCATACTCAAAATACCATATATTGAAACAAATTTCAAAAGTAAAATTTCCAATACTCAAAGTAATACAACTATTCAAAAGAATTTTTAGTAATATCTTATCATTTCAATAATCACTATAATACAATAATCAACCCTACCTAAACACTACTCCCCTTCCATAACCAAATGATATGATTCAGGGAATGCCCCCATAATTGTCTGCCTTCTGTAGCACTTGCCTAGAGGTCACTACAGTTTATCGAGACATCATGGAGTTGTATCCTCCTTCTACGATCTATCCACTATGATTTAGTGAATACTTATGCCTATTCTCTTTCCATTTCTGAGCCCACAGATAGTAAATGAGCACTAATAGGTCTTTATATGCCACCACTATAACCCTTCCCAGCCATAGGAACAAGGACCTTAGGGGCTGGCAATTACCACGTGGTTATAAAGAATCATGGATATCTATCAAGATACATGTCTATACTCAAAACCAATCATTTATCAAAAGGATGAAGACCCAACAATAATCATGCAGTAGGGATGTGACATTTCCAATCAATATAAATTCCACATTGGATAGGATATAAAAACCAGCTCATCAGTATTAATATACATGTGTAGCTAAACATATTCAAATATTATACCACATTCAAAAGAATGATAAAATTCCAAATCTTTTTCCAAAATGACAACATCAATATACATTTTAAAATATCATTTTTCAAGCTAATATATATATAATAAAATCATAATAAATATTTATGCAGTTTAATACCAAAAATGGGTTTCACTCATTGGATAATTATTTATGGAAATTACCATAAATAATTTGAAAACTACATATGAATGCACATGTTACAACAAGAATTAAACTCTAGTTATCTCAAGCCTTTAAGTTAGAAGGGCAAAAGAGCTAGCCTAAAATGTTTAATTACAACGTGAACAAATACCACACCATGATCCAAATGCAAAAGTTCATACTTAGAATTCCAATCCAAAGCCTGCAGATCCCTCACAACAACATCCATAATTCAATCAAGTCCCAGCCCAAAAAAAAAAAAAAAAAGAACTAGAGAATCCATAAATATAGCCTCTACAACTCTAAGTTTGGATTCAAGAGAGGAGAGAAAAACCAACTGATGAATCTTGAAGAAAATACAAGTAGATTGGAAAGGAGCACTAAAGCTTTAAATTTGAAACATCATGAATCTAAAATGTTTTCCTGTGATGCTTAAAAATTTCTCACAGAATTTTCTCACGGATTATTCAGTGAGAAATACTGTTTTTCGCCAACTTTTGAAAATTTATAATTTATTCGACAGACCTCCAAAAATTCTAAATTATCTCTCTTTAGAAAGATTATGATGCCTACTTTCCAATGCAAAAGAAATCACTCAAAAAAATGTTTCATTTGCCCCTAGAAAATTAACAATATCCGAGACAATTCATAAAAGTCTAAAATATGATAAAAGACTAAAATTTAGAGGAACATGAAAAAGTCCAAAAAGATTAAAACATATATATATATATATATATCAAAGTTTAAATAATTTACAATTAATTTATAATATGTAGGAGTTAAAATAAAATTAAGAAAAGTCACGAAAATGTGAAAACAAATTCATTGTTTTTGTAAATAAGATTCAACATATCATAAACATTATAGCATAATAATTCAAATTATCGAAACTATTTAAAGAATATGCTTATCCCCTCTATTTGTGTTTATTGCTACTTTAGAAAGATAGATATGGGTTTGAATTTTATTAAAACTTAATTGATTCTTGGTAGGTCCTCGTTTCTATCATTGACTCTGTGTGTGGGTGTGTTAATTGGTTGAAGTTATTATTTCTTCTTTATTATTGTTGCTGTGAGTGATTGGGGGAGTAGATGGAGTTTGATCAGATTGAAACTTGAGTTTAAAAGCATAATTCCTTGTAGATAATCTCACATATATGTTAGTTATTGTAAGATGAAGAAATTAGTTTTATTTTTCTTTGAGCTTAATGATTTGTGTGGAAGGAGTGAAATTTGACAAGTTTGGTAAATTAAAATTTGACATTGGAAATTGTAGAGAAAGAGATTTAAAGAATAAGATGTTGCTATATGATTTGATTCTTACAACATAAAAGGTGTTCAATGAAATAACAAGTTTGTTCACTCTTATTTTAGCTTTTGGTTACATATAGTCCAATGAAATGTTTGAAAACTTAGAAATTTTGAATATCATTGATATGCATGTAAGTTGAAGATTGTTGTTTAAACTCAACATGATTTTTTATTTGTGAAAGGTTGATGTTGTGATTCTCTTTTCAAGTTCTCTGAATTTGATTGGAGTGAAGATTTAGGATTTATAAAGTGTATAAAGGAAATAACAATAATGTCCTTTTGGGAATTAGGGAATTAAGGCGCAGGCAATATTATAAAGTGACTAGTTAAGAGTAAGTTATATATTTGAAAATATCTTAGGTAAGTGAATAGCATCCTAAATGACTTACTAGTAAATTTATTTTCTTCCCAATAATGTTTAAGTGCATTCATGATTATTTATATCATTATATTTTAAATTTCATTATCAACTATCATGAATAAAAATGTTCTTACCATACAAATTTTTATAAGAAGAGTTAGAATTATTTTACGATTGGGCATCTACTAGTATTTAATATATTGGTAATGTTTGATTTTACAATTTAAGGAATGATTTATTATTAACACTCATGGATGCTAGATTTGAAGTGTGGGACTGAATTAAGATGCTAGTTGCTAATAGCAGTTCCATTAGCCCTTGGTGCATCATGGTACACCTAGTTAACAGGGTGTTTATAGGAGGTGCTAGCCCTATGCGTAGGTTAATACATATGGAACAAAGGGATGCATATTCATAAACATTGTACTCATGCTTGTTTCATGGCCCTTGCCATGCTTGTTTCATGGCTTATGTCATGCTTGTTTTATAGCTTCTAGCCACGCTTGACTGGTTACATACCCTCATGGACTGTATGTCCATGCTTGTTTGTTATTTACTCTCGCAGAC